CATCTGAGGAAGGTGGATGCTCCAGATTGGAAGTACCATCTTTTTGCTGAACATCTTTCAAGCCATTCTTCTCTTCCTATTTACACAGATGTGCGACTCTAGGTTCTGTCATGGTGTGCTGTAGCTCGCAGGATCCCCTCTACAGTTTCTGTGTTCATTGCTGAGTTGTATGCTATTTCTCTTGCTCTGGATCATGTAGAAGCTATGCAGTACAGTAATTGTACTATCTACACTGATTCTCTTAGCTCTCTACTGGCCCTGGAATCGCTTAACTTTAGTTCTCACCCTGTTCTTGTCGATATTCAATAACAATTGTCCCACTTTTCTCTATCTTCTGTTATTCCAATTGTGGTATTTCACGTTTGACAAATCATATGATGATAAGCAAAGCATGTGACGAAACGTTCTCTAGATTTTACAATATGAATGTGGGTGGTGCTCATTATAGTAACTGCCATTTTATGTAGAGGTTGTATTATTAGCCAATAGTACTTTTCTATAAGTGTTAGAAAACTTGCTTCTTGAAAAAACTGCATGGAATGTACGTGACTTTTATTATTTTTCTATAGTAGCTTAAGTCATGCTGCATCATATATTTATATTAATCATTATATATTGAAAAATTAACTCAAAATAGATATATTTTTTAGGAAAGAAGTTGATCCACGATTGTTAGGGTTAAGAGCTATCAAGTGGCAAGTGCAAGGTCTTTACATGAATTAGGCTTAGCACTTTGAACTGCAAGAGTTTGTGATTTTTATATTCTTTTGCATTTAAATTTGTAGTTTTAAGTTCAATAATTTAGCATAATTTTATATTTAGTTCATGATAAAATATGATTCAGTATTTAGAATGAAAAACTTCTGTGATATGTACGTACTACTAGTACCACGTAAGAATTATCTACTTTTCATTCTTACTATCTTTACTTTGTAGTAAGACCCACACTTCTTTTGTTGTGGCTTTATAAGTAAAACAGTCTAAATGATATATAAAAAGCTTATTCTGATATTTTGCAAAGAGATTAAAACTTAGTGTACAAGTGACAACAATAAAACCCATATGTTGGTTGTGAAACAGACTAAACTCATTTGTCTCAATAATACAGGGGAAGCTGTGACATTCTCACAGTTGGAGTGCCAATAAACTGAAGAGCTTAAGTTTCGTTTTTCCAACATAAATCTTGCCTAATCTTTTAAGTGCTGTAAAGTGATTTTCTTTGTAATTTATGGTGTCTGTATCATTTGGTAATCTCTTCTAACAGGATATATCAAGTAACTAGGGTCAAGCGGTGTTATTCAAACCATCTGTACTTTAAACTATTACATACATTTGCTAGTAGTAGCAATTAGTTTTGTCTGTATAGTG